GATTCAGGATTTTAATGAATCGATTCTAGCTTGGATAATCGATAAATTGATAATCAAAACCCACCTCTAGGGATGAGAGAAAAAAGCATACACCCTACATTCCGGTGGGAGGAGCTATGAACAACAGTTGCATGTCAATTCAACAACTCCGCACCAGTTGAAAATACTTTTTATTTGATCTCTGGAAATATTCTAATAATTCGAGAGACTGGAATTACTGTAAGCTATGATGATTGACATTAAAAATAATAATTTATGTGTAATCATGGAATATACAAAAGTTTACTTTAACCTATATTTGTTTTTTTACACACAAGACTGCTGTGTTAGTGCTTGTCTTGGCGTGCTTGACCTTTCTAAACATTGAATATACTGGTCTGACAGAAATCTGGTCTGGTCTGAAACACTTAAAGGGATGATGCAACATTGAGTAGGTCTATGTAGTCCTCAGAACAAGTGACTGGTGAGTCCACCCAGTCTGTTTGGGACAGTCTGGGGAAGTATGAGGAAGCTTGGGAGTTGGAAATGTGAGTCATGGGAACACTGAGGGCAATAACAGAACTATGTCTGGCTTTGGACTGAGCAAATGACCTGGTTCAGACATGCGAGTCATGGCACAGACTTTTGTTATGAAAATGGACGGTCATGGACTGCAGATCACACATTTGACCCACTGGTATGAGCTTTGCTTTGCCATTGTCTGAATCTGGAACTCCAAGTAGCTTTTCTGTTCCATAGCTGCAAAACAGAGCGTGGTGCTCTGTGGTTGACATATATATCCAGGACACACTGATGAGAAGTGGGCTACTGGAACAAGAGGGAACAAGCTGGCAAGAGATGATAATAAGCCGCTGTTGGAATGCTACTACGCGAGTCAACCCCAGTGGAACGGGAATCTTTGATATCCAGCATCCAGATCGACAGCAAAACAACTAGTAGCTCAGTGTTCCAACATTTGCAAGAAGAAACTGCTCTCACGGCTAGAGATTGACGAGGTACAACACAAATACTACGGCAAGAGGGAGCCAGGACGACA